TCCATCCATCCATCCATCCATCCATCCATCCATGGTATGCAATGGTTAAAATGCAGCTTTGCAGTCTGACTCTGTCCACAGCCAGGAGTTCGATCCTGACCGGCTTAAGGTTGGTACTCAGCCTTCCATCCTTCCGAGGTGGGTAAAATGAGGACCCAGATTGTTGAGGGGGCAATAGGCGGATCCTGTAAACCGCTTAGAGAGGGCTGTAAAGCACTGTGTAGCGGTATATAAGTCTGAGGCCTGTTGCTATTGCTGTAGCTGATCGGATGTTGCATTAAGAGCCGTGGTGGCGCAGTGCTTAGAATGCCGTATTTCAGGCAAAACTCTGCTCATTGTCAGGAGTTCGATCCTGACCGGTTCAAGGTTGACTCAGCCTTCCATCCTTCTGAAGTCGGTAAAATGAGGACCCAGATTGTTGGGGGCAACAGGCCGACATTTGTAAACTGCTTAGAGGGGGGTGTAAAGCACTGCGAAGCGGTATATAAGTCTAAGTGCTATTGCTATTAGATTCATTTGCTATCCATCTTATTTCAGTATGACTCCTAGCGGCCTGCAGCTTTAAAAGCCTTAAAACACATGGGCTTCTTTGTACTGATAGAGGAGTTTATTTATTTATTTATTTTATTCCATTTATACCCCGCCCTTCTCCCGAGGGACTCAGGGCGGCTTACAGGTAAATAAAAACAGAGCTATACAATAAATATTTAAAAGCCAAATTAAAATATATATTAATTAACCTGTATTAGAAAAATTTTAAAATCCCTATAAAATCCCCCCCTAGGCCAATCCCGCTTGATGGAAAAGCCATGTCTTGAGGGCACGGCGGAAGGAGGGGAGATCCGGAATAATCCGGACCTCTGGGGGGAGTTCGTTCCACAGGGTGGGAGCTCCCACAGAGAAGGCCCTCCCCCTGGGGGTCGCCAGCCGACACTGTTTGGCCGACGGCACCCTGAGGAGGCCCGCTCTGTGGGAGCGTACCGGTCGATGGGAGGCAATCTGCGGCAGAAGAC